CTTGGTTCTAAAGAGGAAATCTGTGATATTGGTAGCAGTTCTTTTGTTGATTTTGAATTGTTTAGAATGACAAAAGCAGCCCAAAAAAAAATAAAGCCAAACCCAACCCTATTGTTTTTATGAGGGGAAAATTCTTTAAAATTTCCATCCTTTTAAAGGGATTTAATTTCTCTTAGACTCGAATCAATTAAGCTGGTACTGGTAGTGTAGGCACTTTGCCTCTAAGGAAATTATACTCTCTCAGATAATATAACACACATACTGATAAGGAAATAAAAAAAATATAAGAAGTAGATGCAAAGTGACTTAGAGGCGGGCTCCACTGACAACTTAGGGAATCAGGAAAAGCCTGAAGTAGGAATTATTATTCCAGGTGAGTCTTAAAGTGAGGTAGGGATTCCAGGCCTGGGAGGCAGCTTGGACAAAGGCAAAGGGGTGGGAAATGGAATGTCAGGTACAAGAAAGTAGCATGGGCTTTGTGGAAACATAGAATGTGGGAGGGCCAAAGCCCCTAGGGAGGTTGGGAAACCAGAGAGGTCAGAGGCAGCTGTAGAATGACTTTCAGTCCCAGACCAAGACCTTTGCATTTTACCCTAGGGGCGAGAGGGGGTCAGGGAAGCTCTTTGGAGCAGGGAAAGAGCGTGGCTAAGCCTTAAGAAGCATCAGTGTGAGGATATGGAAAACACTGGATTCTGGGAGGTCATTTAGGAGGCTGTAATTCGGGTGAGAGATGTTGAGGGCGTTCGGGGCGAGAAACCCTAGAGATTCCGACTTCACAGTTTTAAGTGACTGACAGAGGTAACAAGGAGCTCCAGCAGGTAGAATGCTTTTGCTGTCTGTAGCTTTCTTTGTGCAGGCCAATTGAAGTCCCGGTTGTAACAGGGAACATGGAAAGCGGGAAGCCTTCAAGGCCTGGGGTTCAAATCCCAACTCCTCCACCTTGGGCAAGTCACTCAGCCTGTAGGGTGCTCGGCTTTCTTTGTTGTAAAGTGAGAGGGTTGGACCATGAGGACCCTCACATCTCTCCTGGCTCCCCACCTCGGGGACGGAATGGGCAGTGAAGTTTGGGTGAAGACGTTGGCCCTGGCCGGGTTCACAGTTGTGTGACTCATGTCTGTTCTGCCGCTGCTTCTCTGTAACCAATTTTAGAGCCTGTCTTGGCAGCTGGAAGCATTTGGGATTAATTTCACACCGATTTTTATGAGTCAGTCCAGCTTTTTGCCCTGAGCAGCTCCCTGGGTGGGGGCGGGCACCCTTCATCCTTTGGCATCTGCCAATATGGCACTTGGACATGGATGTGTCCTCTGGGCTTTGCATTCGATTTGGAAGCGAGAACCAAAGAAGGTTCTGCACGTTGTGTTTGAAGTCATTAGCATTTATTGTTTCCTAAGGTCCTTGATAGCTGTGGTCCTCTGGTACCCAGGGAATGTGCACAAATACACACACACACACACACACACACACACACACACACACATGCGCGTGCGTGCGCACACGCCCACCACATTCCGCAGCCAAGCCCCAGCAGCTGGTCAGCCTCGTATCTGGGTTCAGGGTGAACTGTGTGATCTCCCAGTGCCATGTCAGAAGGAGCTGTGGCAATGAGTTCCACCATCCCAGTCCTTTAGAATATGCCCATTCTCTTCTAGTTCATTTGTCAATGTAGATGTTATCAGCACCTTTCAATGGAGAATGTGGCTGACAGCTGGTGAATTTGTATAGGCCAGGGAGATTTTACTACAGGTGATACACACACGGAGTTCTTTGATTCTTTCCTTACCCAATTCTGGGACTTTTGGGGAACAAAAAACTTTTTCTGTGGTTGACCCTGTACCGTCCCTGCTTAGTTTTAGATGGCGTAAGGCATCCTGAGACTCCTCCTACATCGTTACTTTTTTTAAAAATCATGTTTACATTAGCTTTTTCCCCTGAAAAAGCTTTTTTAAAATTTTTTATTAATTTATTTTGAGCAATCAACAATCACTTCCATAAGCTTTTGAGTTTTAAATTTTTCTCCCCCTCCCTCCCTCCCCAAAACAGCATGCAATCTGATATGGGCTATACATACATATTCCTATTAGACATGTTTTCACATTAGTCATGTTGTAAGGAAGAATTAGAACCAATAGGAGGAACCACAAGAAAGAGGAAACACAGAAGAAAACAAAAAGACCAAATAGCATGCTTCATAGATCATTATTTTTGGGTGGGCCTGCTCAGGACTGATGGTGTGTCCTGGGATGTTGCTTCACCAATTAGCCACCCCAGTACAGGTACATTGGATGAAGATGCCTGAGTTTTCATGCAGAAACATCCCACCATGTTAGCTGTCATTTGCCTTGAGATCATGGCGGGTAGCAGAAGGAAGAGCTACTAGACTTGGGGTCAGAGAACCTGTTTGATCCCGGCTCGGCCCTTGTTATCTGAGTGACCTCAAGGAAATCGTTCTACTTAAAGTTCCTTCTGGATCAATCCTACATTTCACATCATTCCAGACAAGTCAGAACCCAAAATGTTACTGACCTTTTAGGCCTCCAGGTTCTTCCATTGACTGATCTTCCCACCAAGGAGCAACCATCACAGAGTGACAGGCAGAGTTCAGCAATGGCCTCTTCCTGACGTCATCGTCTGTTCATTTGATCTTCCCTTGTAGAAGGTGGAAGGCTCGTCCTCTAGTCTCATTTGGCAAAGGGAGATCTTAGGGCAGAAGCTTCCCAGCCATAAGCTCAGTCCCCTGAGTCCATTTGTAGGGTTTGGCCTTTCTACACATATACACCTTTTGTACAGTGTCTTCTGTGTCTAAGCAAGGGTATGCTGGAGCCAGCTCACAAGAGCCGATGGTTAAAATGTGAACATTCATGCCTCAGAAATTGGCAAATGCTGTATACAGATTAGGGTTTGGTTTTTGTTTTGTTGATTTTCTAGACTTAAGAAAGTGATGGGGAAAATGTTAATAGTATAGGTCAAACTATGGAGCTAATATAGGATTTGGAACATCATTCTCCCAGAGCTGTGGTGGGGCTTCAATGAGTTAATGTCTCCAGAGTGACCTAGAAGGGCTAGCTTGTTCTCATCCTCCGAGTGGCTTCTGGAGGCTTTGGGAGCTGAGCCCCCCATATCTCCCCCTCCCCCAAAGAAGTTGGGCCCACCCAGCCAGGGACCCACCTGATGACTTTTCAACACGCTTATTGTTTCAGGGCTCACTGGCCTCAGAGCTGTCCCTCTCCAGCGGCTTCTCATGCTTCGGCCAGACAGACAGCATGGAGAATGGGCACTGCTTCTTGGAGGAGTAAATGTATTCCTTTTAATGAGCACAGGATTCACCGAGGTGTTAAAATCAAACACCCGCTCCATCTCATTGTTGTTTTTAGTTCTTTTTTTCCACACGAGCATTCAAAAAATCCACAATCCAAGTCGGCCCTGCCAATTTTGTCCTAACGAGATTTGGCAACAGAAGGCTAACACACCCAACTGAGCCTTCTCCCTCGCAGGTCGCTGTGGGCCAATGCCTGACATTTGGGTTAAAGATGACATCACTCAACTAGCTTTTTGTTAGGATCTCCATCCACCTTTCAGGTGGAATCCTGAAACATGGTGTTGCAAATGGTGCCACGGCATATCAAGGGGACATCTTCCTATGATGTACACTCCCCATTTCCCTGTCTTATAACCTTGGCTCAATTCAGGTGCCTCCTCCTGTGTGAGACCTACCCAGATTCCCTCTTCCTCAGTCAGGACAGCCGTTGGCTCTTGAAATTAATTATCTATGCATGTATTTTTATTTACTGATCTTTCCTGTTTACTAATCTTCTCTCTTTTCTGACTAACATAAAGTTAGAACAAATGAAGTTTATTTGAGGAGGGTACTCATGATGGAGACCAGGATAACATTATTTCTTAGGCACAGTTGTGTTGTGGTAGGTTCTTGAGATTAATCTAATAGTCAGGAAAGTCACTGTGGCCCTACTTGTGTCAAGGGCATAGTGATCCTTCCAACTATCCATGTTTTCCAACTCAGCCACTTTCATGATGCTTCACTCCGCCATAGGTTTAATTCTATCTCCGAGGCCTCTGTTTCATCTGTCCCGTTGTCTCCATTCTCAAAGCCACCACCCTAGCTCAACTCCTCAGCATCTCTCATCTAGAATTACAGTAGCAGCCATTGGTCTCCCTGCCTCTGGCCTCTCCAGTCTCCAGTCCATCTTTCTCCCAGCTGCCATGTTAATATTCCAAAAACTCTGGCCTTGCTATATCACTCTCCTCTTCATGAAGCCCCAGTGCTTCTCTGTTGTGTCTTGGATAAAATACAGATGCCTTTCTTTAGCATTTAAAGCCCCTCACTATCTGCCCCAGCCTCTTTCCAAGCCCATGCCTCCCTGTCTTTCACTCTACAGTCCAGCCAGACTGGATTGGCCATACTGTGTTCTGTCCATGGCCTTTCTGCTTTGGCCCTGGTTGTTTGTTCTCCATTTCTGGAATGTTCAAGTGTCTCCTCTTATGTGAGGCCTACCCGGATTCCTCAGTCAGGACAGCCCTCGAAATTAACTTTGCTTATATTTTTGTTTGCTTATCTTCTTACCAGTTATCTTCTTAGATCAAAGATCCCTAAGGCAGGGCTTGTTTTGTTCTCTCCTGTCTTCTGTTGCTGCTTGTCCTTGAGTCTAGAAGAGGTCGAGTGACTTCAGGAAGGTGACTGCACGCGTGGTGCTTAACAAATGCCTGTTGACCCACTCCCCAAATGAATGAATGGCAGTAGCCACGCGAACATGGAAGTGTTACTTCTGTCCCATTGCCACCTGGAACGGGGATTGCTTTTAGCACATTTGCTGTAGCACGAACAGAGTGAATAGACAGTCCCATTTATTATTCCCTCTAGCTCGTATTTATGGAAGACCAAGTTTATCGACTTGTACCAAATAAAAGCAGGCGTGTACCCAGTGATGCGTTGGTGTCCGGGGCTCAGCAATGACGATGATGTTCTCCCTTTGATGTTTCTGCAGGTAATTGCCCTGGCAGATGCCGCGGAGGAGAACCATAGCAATCTGCTGCAGTCCTTTGCCAGGCTGAAGAGTGCCACCCACCTGGTGATCATGCTGATTGGTCTGTGGCAGAAGCTCAGCGCTGACCAGACTGCCATTTTGGAGGCCGCATTTTTGCCACTACAGCAGGACTCTCAGGAGTTGGTAAGGGCCAGTCTGCTTAGCATGGGGAAGGTCTTCAAGAGAATGAGTGTGTTAACAGAAGGGACGGCACTTGTCTAAAGTGGCCCATAATCCTTGTTTTCTTTTTGAGGCACACCCTTCCCACTTTTCTGAAACCACGATCAAAGTCGGGAATTTAGGTGGACTTTTTTGTAGCCACTTTTTAGTGTGTGTTTTCTTATGATCTTCTGTCACCTAGAAGCCTAGGAATGGTTATTTGAGTGGCTGAGGTCTGCTATTAAGCCGTCCGGTTAGCTAATCCTGACTCCTCTGGCCAATGAAAACACTGGCATGATTTTTGCTTGTCATTCTTCAATGGGTAAGACAGGGCTTAGGGCACTGAACCCTGAGCTAGAAATTGGAACAGCTCTCCCAGGAGAATGGGAAATCAGGAACTATGTTAAAGTTTGGGGAAATCTGGTAAAAGATTATTTAAATTAGAGGTTTTCTGTCTCACATCCTGGAGTTCCTAAGAAAATGGATGAAATAGTTACCAAGCCACCAGAAATTATTTTTGGTCAATTTTTTCCAGTGCCTGTATTTAAAAAGATGACCCTGGGGATTCTAGGTCTGGAAGCTTAATTGAGCTCAGTGAAATACTGGAAAGATGCTAGGAAAATGACCACAAAGTCAGTTGGAAAAGTCGAGAAGGGAATGTGAGGTAGGTAGCAAGGAGCACGCCTTTGGAAAGAGCAGGGGTCATCAAGCTGGCCTTACCTTTTGGTCTTTACCATTTGGGCTAATACAGCAGGTGGATGTCCTCTGTTTGATTTCTTATTCTGCCCTGGACACCACAGGGATCAGTCAATTGAAACCATGGATCTAAAACACATATTTTCATTAGCTCTCTCAGTGAATACAGCTAACCAGTAGGAATTAATGGTAGCCAAAAGTCCTCTTAGGAAAGTATTCAGGAACAGCTAGAATGAAGCCAAGTGGGCCCTAGAGCAATTTGAAGTAGTGGTAACATGGTCCTGGCTGGCTTTTAAGGGGTCTCAGGTGATTGCAGAAAGAGCACAAATCACCGTGTGTCACATTTTTGAAACCAGGAAACCACGGACTGAGAAGCTTTGGAAGCCATAATTTGTCATCTCTGTATGGTCCAGTACTGGACACAATATTGGGAGAAAATCATTTGGTTTGGGGTCTTCATGTGAAGTGTGGGAAGGAATTGAAGCTGATGGAGGGGAGAGAGACACAAGAGGGGTTAGAAGATGAGGCCTGGTTCTTTGGTTTGGTGATGTCTGGTGGCAGATAGTAATTGATTAGCTCCCTTCCTGTAGGGCATACCTCTACGAAAGTCTCATCCCCTTGCCCACTGAAGTTTGGAGGTACATGTAAAGAATACAGGGCTGCACTGGGTGGCCCACGGTCTCATCTAGCTTATGACGTCTGTGAGCCTGTGATGCTGAGTTCTTCAAGGCTCCGTAAGCACAATATAGATTCTGACAGAGCCTGCAAAGCTGGGAGGGCTTTGGGCATGAGCTCCGTGACAGCCTGTGTGGCCATGTCCTCAAATGGCCAGGTCAGAGGAGGCTCAGCACTCAACTGTCGGCAGCCAGGTGATGATTTGGCCACGGCAAATCATGATCGTTGTCTGTTAAGGCACAGGACAAGGTTGTGGGAACGCACAGGTAGCAGGTGAAATGATGCCGATCAAGTCACGACTTCGTAGGAAGTTTAGAACAGAACAAGCCAAAATGGACTTTGGCTGCAGTATAAAGAATTTCCTGAGTGGCAGTTCCCTGGTAACTGAGGGCCTTCCTCCTCCCTAAAAACAAGATCCATTCTCATGTTGAAAGTCACTTAGATGCAGCCATTCCTCTGGGCCAAGGAATGAACGGGCTCAGTCACCCCCAAGGGCCCTGGCAGCCTTCTGAACTGGGACTCCGTGGTTCCTCTGGAAGGTTCCTGAGGGCGTCTTGTGCCTTTCATGGCAGCAGGGAAGGGGATATGCCCTCTAGGCTTGTGGGAGTCTCTCACTCCCTTGTTATGAGTGAGGTCAGACACAGTCACCATGCCACACAGGGCGGGATGGGATCTGAAGATGTCTTCACACTGCTTTTCGTGCTCTTCATGTTCAGTCCCATTTTGAGGTTCAGTCTGGGTCTCGGGCTGTTGAGATAGCTTTTGGAGGAACAGAAGGAAAGCTCGTGTACATCTCGAAAACCAGGAATTCTCTTTCATTCTTGAGACAGAGTCATTTTGTATGTGGTTTAGATAAGGTTGTTCATAATCCCTCACATTATGTCTTTGGACCTCACAAATCAGTGTTACTGGATGGGCACCCTACTGAGAGGCTAACATGAAGGATGGAAAGCTAAAATTGCTTGGAAGGAAGGGGAGCGTGTGGGCGGAGAGAAGCCACTTACCCGAAGGTTGAAAATACATCCCATATTGAAGTTATTAAGATACCACAGAAATCTGAAAGTAATTTAGATGTAAATTTAGTTGCGAGGGGGTGGGGGAACAACTGGGATGTAGGTGGGGGTGGGGACGCCATAGACATGTGGCTAGTGTTTACAGACAGAAGCTCTCAGCTAGTGTGCAGATTTCCCCACAAGCGTTGAGATGAACAGTGGTGAAAGAAAGTGCTTGGAAGAATGTTCACTTCCTTTTCAAACCACTCCATGCTCTGGATTGTTGTATTTTTGTTTGGATGTAATGTGTCGGGAGGCAGGCCAGCCCCAGGAGGGACCTGCGCAGTGGTCTTGTGCTCCCTTGTGCTCACTTTGGAAAAGGTTGAGAAGCTGTTGTTATCAGCTCAGAGCGCTGGAGGTTGGGGTGACGGAAACCCAAGATGGTGTACGTGCTTACATGTAAATAGTGGCACAACTCGTTTAGCCAGCTCTATTGATGTTTCATATTCAATTGATAATTCATCATTTAAAAAATAATATTCATTGCAACATGACACTGACATTTATATATATATGTATGTCACTCCATTTGGGTCAGAATTCTTCCTCATGTCCCACACCCAACTGTCTCTCCTGAAACGCTCCCCAGCTCTGACAATTTCTCAGGATCATCTCAAAACAATTAAATCCTGCTGTTGCAGACTCTTGGGTGTTATCCCTCCTTTGTGCTTGGAGCATCCATGCCAAATGACCCTTCTTATTTTGTCTTGAGGGAAACGTGAACTGGGATTCCAATTGAGCCCTATTAGAAGGACTCCAAATAATGAGTCCATCAGTGGAATTAGAAAATGCCTTGCCCTTCCTACTTCCATGAAGGGCATATTTTTCCTGAAGAGTGTCATATCTGACAGTCTTATTGAGCATGATGAATTTTCCATGTTTGCCTTTGCTTATTAGAGTCTAGTTTGAAAAAATGGTATGATTGACTTGTGTGGTAATCATTTGAAGATGTCTCTTTTCACGTGCAAAGGACTGTACCAGTTAATGTCTCGGGAAGCTCTGATGGGGTTGATTTTCAGAGGTGTACCACACACTTCCTCTAGTTATACTTGCTACTTTTTCACTTTCTTCTGTGGAGAGCCTACCAAACCAAATGGCAGACAGGCATGTGTGGCCTCACCTGCCAGTGGATCTTTTCCAAACTCTTTCTTCTACCTTCAAAACCTTGTGTGTGGGGATGTACATGCCACACCATCACCATCCTGCGAGTCCAGCAATCTGTAGTCACAAACACCTGTTCTTGTGCCTTCTTGTACCCAGCCAGAAAATGGGGCCTCTCCAACCCCACCCCCACACATTAAGAGAGCAAGTTTGGTTGTAAAGCCTGTGACTTTTGTCCACAGGCACTTTGTTAACTATTTCGAGCAAGCATATACCCACCATTTTAGATGCTTTCTTAATCCGAGAGTGTTCTTTCAAGGACAGCTGTCGAATCAGAGAATCATGGAGGTGAACTCATGCAAATTGGCCCCTCTACAACATCCACATAAATGGTCATCCACCCTTGATGTGAAGACATCCAGTGACATACTTAATTCACCTCATCGACAGCTTTAATTGGGAAGAATCTAGCCCAAATCTGATTCATTGCAACATCCGTTCCTGGCTCCTAGATCTGCCCTCTAGGGCCAAGGAAGACCTGTCTAGTTCCATTTCTTTCTATTTTAAATTTTAAAAAGTGTTAACAAACAGAAATAGATTTTCTATCTCTCTTACCCTCCCCTACTACAGTCAAAAAGAAAAAGAAAAACAAAACCCTCATAACATCACCCTAAAGATGCCTCGGCCCAAGGGTGGGCTGGAGCCCCTGGAACCTGGCAGATGGCTAACTTGTCGGTAGGAGCACTCACACCTTGGAAATTGGCAAAGGCTTCACATCAGGGCTCAAATGATGGTTTTGTTGATTGTCTGGACTTATAAGTGATAGAGAAAATGATAATGATGCAGAGTAAACTTGAAAGTGTATCATATATAAACATATATATATATATAATTATAATTATTGTTATTGTTACCATTATTATGTTATCATTGTTTTGGAGAGCCAGTTGTTAAACATTTACCATCATGCCCCTGCCTTGGTGGCACTTCTTCCCACTGGTAAATTCCTGCCCAGAACTTCCATTTGAGGAAGTGCCTAGACCTACCACAGTCCACTTCTCTCCCAGCTCAGCTCTTGCCCCTCTAGACTCCTCTACCTCTGGTCTCTTCCCATGAAAATGTGAGGTTCTTGAGGGTAGGGACTATATTTCTTTTTGCTTGTGTTTATATTCCTAGCACCCATCACAGTGCCTAGGCATAATGAACACTTAATAAATGCTCTCTCTCTCTTCTCTCATCTCTCTCTGTCTATCTAATATGCATAGTCAAGTCAAAAAAATCCCCACATTGACCGTATCTGAAAAATACTTACCTCATTCTGCACCCTGAGTCCAAACGTCCCTGTTGGGAGGTGGGCAGTGTGCTTGAACATCAGTCCTCTGGAGTCATGGATGCTCATTGCCTTCATAATAGTTCTTACAGTTTTCAAAATTGTTTGTTTTTACAGTGTTGTTGTGATAA